AGCATTGCCAAACACTGGCAGAAAATGTAAACTTGATGGCTGGGTGTAGTGGCTCACACCTGTAGTCCCAGCACTTTGGCAGGCCAAGGTGGGAGGACTGCTTGAGGCTAAAAGTTTGAGACTAGCCCGGACAACAAAGCAAGACCATATCGCCAAAAAAAATTTAAAAATTAGGTGTGGTGGCATGCACCTATAGACACAGCTTACTTGGAAGGCTGAGGCAGGAGGATCCCTTGAGCCCAGGAGTTTGAGGCTACAGAGAGCTATGATCCCACAACTGCAGTCCAGCCTGGGTGACAGAGAGAATCCATATCTCTAAATAAATAAGTTGCATGTGTGAATCTGTGCAACTTTATCAAAATAATACTTTATCAATAACTATACGACCCAGTAATTCCACTCCTAGGAATTTATCCTACAGGGATATTCTCACAAGTGAGGAATGATATATGCATTATGGATTGCTCACTGCAGCAGTACTTGTAACAGCAAAAAACTGAAAACCATCATTAGGGACTGGTTAATAACAACAAACTTATACAATGGAATACTACGCAGTCACAGAACAGAGGTCTATACCTCGTAGACCTCCGTCCATGTCAGTATATAGAAATATACTTGATTTTTCTTAAAACAAAACAAAAAAAATGAGTTACAAAAGGTGAGGACAAGTGAAAAAAGCAACTTGTATAAGGGTATGCACAGCATGAATCCCATTTATGCAAAAGAAAGAAGAAAAGGTACTTCCATGTTTGGTTTAGAAAATTTCTGGAAAGACATGTAAGAAACTTACTAATAATTTCTTCTGGGGAGTGAGACAAGGTAGAGAAGACTTCTAAATTTCTATTATGTACCCCCTTTTTTTGCTTGTTTTTTTTTTTTTTTTTTTTTTTTTTTTTTTGAGACGGGTTTTTTTTTTTTCCCCCGCTGGGGGGGGGGGGGCCCCGTCTGGCGCCCTGCCAACCCCCCCCGCTACACGGGAGGCGGAGTCTTGCTCTGTCACCCAGGCTGGAGTGCAGTGGCCGATCTCGGCTTTGAGACGGAGTCTTGCTCTGTCACCCAGGCTGGAGTGCAGTGGCCCGATCTCGGCTCACTACAAGCTCCGCCTCCTGGGTTCACGCCATTTTCCTGCCTCAGCCTCCTGAGTAGCTGGGACTACAGGCGCCCGCTACCACGCCAGGCTAATTTTTTTGTATTTTTAGTAGAGACGGAGTTTCACCGTGTTAGCCAGGATGGTCTTGATCTCCTGACCTTGTGATCCGCCCGTCTCGGCATCCCAAAGTGCTGGGATTACAGGCTTGAGCCACCGCACCCGGCCTTGTTTCTGTTTTGAGATGGAATCTCACTCCGTCGCCCAGGCTGGAGTGCATTGGCGTGATCTCGGCTCACTGCAACCTCCGCCTCCCGGGTTCAAGAGATTCTCCTGCCTCAGCCTCCCGAGTAGCTGGGATTACAGGCACCTGCCACCATGCCAAGCTAATTTTTTTTTTTTTTTTGTATTTTTAGTAGAGATGGGGGTTTCACCATGTTGGCCAAGTTGGTCTTGAACGCCTGAGCTCAGGCGATCTGCCCACCTCGGCCTCCCAAAGTGCTGGGATTACAGGCGTGAGCTACCACACCCGGTTCCCCCGCTCCTCCTTTTTTTTTTCTATGAGACGGAGTTTTGCTCTGTAGCCCAGGCTGGAGTGCACTGGCGCGATCTCGGCTCACTGCAAGCTCCGCCTCCTGGGCTCACGCCATTCTCCTGCCTCAGCCTCCCCAGTAGCTGGGACTACAGGCGCTTACCACCACACCTGGCTAATTTTTTGTATTTTTAGTAGAGACAGGGTTTCACTATGTTAGCCAGGATGGTCTCGATCTCCTGACCTTGTGATCCGCCTGCCTCAGCCTCCCAAAGTGCTGGGATTACAGGTGTGAGCCACCGTGCCTGGCCCCGGTCCCCTTTAAAAACAGAAAACAAAAAACTGGTCTGTACTTTTGTTTAAAAGCACATTTAAAAAAAATTTTATTTAATATTTTTTTGAGACGGAGTCTTGCTCTGTCGCCCGGCTGGAGTGCCGTGGCGCGATCTCAACTCACTGCCAGCTCCGCCTCCCGGGTTTACGCCATTCTCCTGCCTCAGCCTCCCGAGTAGCTGGGACTACAGGCGCCCGCCACCTCGCCCGGCTAGTTTGTTGTATTTTTTAGTAGAGACGGGGTTTCACCATGTTAGCCAGGATGGTCTCGATCGCCTGACCTCGTGATCCGCCCCTCTCGGCCTCCCAAAGTGCTGGGATTACAGGCTTGAGCCACCGCGCCCGGCCTAAAAGTACATTTTTTAAATGGCCATAAATTAGGGGCATAGGAAATATATGACGTTCATAATGAAGCCATGCTAATTTACATTTTGCCTCTCAAGTGTCACATAACTGACAGAGCTAAACAACTTAAAATCGCAGTCCTGTCTCTAAGTTGGGGAGGGTGAGACATTTGTCTGTAAGGGGAAATGGAAAGACAAGGACAAACAATGGTTAGGTAGGGCCTCTTGGAGCACCAGTGGTAACTGCCCAGGGCATGAATCTTCCTTCTTTTGGGAAGTCGAGAACCCCTATGGGCAATGAGAAATGGGCTACACAATTCAAATTTAGGATAAGCCTAACTTCTCTTTGAAGAAGAGTCAAATTGGCAAATTTAGGAAAGGATCTACAGCATGAGATCCTAAGTGAATTATAGTTTACACATATTATTAAAAAAATACAGAATATACACAGTATAATCTTTTTTCGAGACATTGTTTTGTTTTGTTTTTTGAGACGGAGTCTCATTCTGTCACCAGGCTAGAGTGCAGTAGCACAATCTCGACTCACTGGAACCTCCAGACTCCCTGGTTCCAGTGATTCTCCTGCCTCAGCCTCTTGAGTAGCTGGGGTTACAGGCATGCGCCACCATGCCTGGCTAATTTTTATATTTTTAGTAGAGATGGGGTTTCACCATGTTAGCCAGGATGATCTTGATCTCCTGACCTCATGATTTGCCTGCCTCGGCCTCCCAAAATGCTGGGATTACAGGAATGAGTCACTGCGTCCGGCCAAGACAGAATTTTGCTCTTGTTGCCCAGGCTGCTATGCAATGGCATGATCTCGGCTCACCACAACCTCCGCCTCCCAGGTTCACGTGATTCTCCTGCCTCAGCCTCCTGAGTAGTTGGGATTATAGGCATGCACTACCACACCCAGCTAATTTTGTATTGTTAGTAGAGATGGGGTTTCTCCATGTTGGTCAGACTGGTCTTGAACTCCTGACCTCAGGTGATCCGCCCACCTCTGCCTCCGAAAGTGCTGGGATTACAGGCATGAGCCACCGCACCCAGCTCAGTATAATCTTTTTATAAAAATAATAAAAAACCCATATACCCATGTGTATATGCACATACATGCCTTAAAAACAGTCTAACCGGCTGGGCGCGGTGGCTCAAGCCTGTAATCTCAGCACTTTGGGAGGCCGAGACGGGCAGATCACGAGGTCAGGAGATCGAGACCATCCTGGCTCACACGGTGAAACCCCGTCTCTACTAAAAAATACAACAAACTAGCCGGGCGAGGTGGCGGGCGCCTGTAGTACTCGGGAGGCTGAGGCAGGAGAATGGCGTAAACCCAGGAGGCGGAGCTTGCAGTGAGCTGAGATCTGGCCACTGCACTCCAGCCTGGGCGACAGAGCGAGACTCCGTCTCAAACAAAACAAAACAAAACAAAACAAAAAAAAAATGAACAGTCTAGCCAGGAGTGATGGAGCACACCTGCAGTCCAGCTACTCAGGAGGCTGAGGCAGGAGGATTGCTTAAGCCCAAGAGTTTGAGGCTGCAGTCCCCTCTAATCATGTCCGTGAATAGCTACTGCACTCCAGCCTAGGCAACACAGTAAGACCCCATTTCTAAAAACAAAAGAGGCGTAGAAGATATATGCCAAATTAACAATCATTACCCCTGAGAAGTGGAAAGATGGAAAACTTTTTTCTTTTATATTTCTGTGTTGATATTTTAAATACTACTTTTGTAATAAAAACTTTAATTCATAATTTTCAAACTTTTTGTGGTCATGAAAAATTTTCAAATATTTTTCTATAAGGAGATTTTAACTTTAACTTCAAGGCATTTTTGATAAACATGCCTTGTCCCATCTGTCTGGGCAGTTTAGTCTTGCCTGGATACAGGGACAGACCTCATAATCCTTCAAGGTCACTTCAATCTCTGGATTTCTGATAAAGCATAGGTAAGCAATTAATCAGAAATGCAGGGTTTTTTCCTGACACCCAGCAGGCTGTTGGTGTTGTTGGACAAATTCCCCAAAATGAGGTGTTCTTGGAAAATGGCTTTCCCAGAACTCCTTGACTACTGTTTTCTTTACCCAGAGACAGACAGATACACACACTCTCTCTCTCTCTGTGTTCAACCAACCTGAACCCTGGCAGCTCAGCTTCAGCCAAGGAGGCAAGGGAAGCCCTGAGGCAGCTACGTTCTGCACGACTGCCACTTACAGTCTGGGCTTCAGACTTGGGAGAACACATGCCAGAGAAAGAAAAGATCTGCTGTGATTAAATCACAGATGCTGGGGGGGAGTGCGGGGTGGAAGGGTCTGGCACCTATGCCACCTGCTACATGCAAGAGCTCAATTACGTTCAGTACTCAGTCAAGGGACAGGGAGTTGGGAAGAGCAGTGCCATTATAACCTTTGGTTACCTGGGAGAGCCTGGAGAGCTGTGGTTTTCCTAAAGTGGTTAAGTTCTCCTTTGGAAAGTCACCATTCCCTATCCTATGATCCTTTCTCACTAGGAACAACTGCATTTGCTCATCCAGGCTTTCACATTTTAATCTGGTTCTGAAGCTACACAGCGGTGGCAGACAAATGACTTGGGAATCAGATACCCTCATCTAATCCTGGAACAAGCTGTCTGAGTGACTTCTACCCCCATGAGGCCCAAAGAAAAACATAATGAAATGAAACCACTTGCTCCTATGAAACAAATGTGGGAATATTTATGCAGCTGTTTTTATTTATTCAACTATAAAGGTTGATTGCAGCAATTTTTTGATGAGTAATGCCTTAGATTAACACTAATTATATTGCTATAAATTTGGTTCAGGATCAGAATAGGGTTCAGGAAAGGGAGAGAACAAAAAAAAGTCTCCAAACATTCAAACAAAGTTTTTTTTTTTTTTTGGGGGGACTGAGTCTCGCTCTGTCACCCAAGCTGGAGTGCAGTGGCACAATCTCAGCTCACTGCAGCCTCCGCCTCCTGGGTTCAAGCGATTCTCCTGCCTCAGCCTCCTGAGTAGCTGGGATTACAGGCGCACGCCACCATGCCCAGGTAATTTTTGTATTTTTATTAGAGACGGGGTTTCACCATGTTGGCCAGGCTGGTCTTGAACTCCTGACCTAGTGATCCACTCGCCTCGGCCTCCCAAAGTGCTGGGATTACAGGCGTGAGCCACCGCACCCAATCTTTTTTTTTTTTTTTTTTAACTTTAATTAAATGCTATTTTCCCATAGACTTCCCTAGACTGGTTTGCAATCTAAGGTAATAGGAAACAAGGCATTAGGCATTTTGAAGAAACTGCAGGTTAAGCTATGGTGCCAAGCAGAAGACTAAACACTGATTTGAGTGTCAAGTCTCAGGCACGTTCTGGGAAAGAGGCAGGTTCTCAAATGTTTCCTAGTGTTCTTTCCTTTTCACTGATTAAATTTTCCCTTCTCTGGCAAATCCAGTGCAGCATATGATCCTCTCATTGCCTCTCTTGGTCAAATGGTTGAAGGGAACCCGTCAGGCACCTGTGGCTTCTGCTTAGATTGGAAAGGTGACAGACTAGCTCTGATTCACCTCCTCCTGAGACAGCCTGGACAGTGGAGGGGTCAACTGGAAGGCCGAAACCTGGTAACAGCTGCCTCTGATTCCTGGTGGAAATGACCAACCAGATTCAATCCATATCACTGGGAAAGATCAAGGAAAAAAAATAGCTTCCCCTCCAAAAATGGTAAAGAGGAAATAAGGAGACAAGAAACCAACAATATTTAGAATGGCACAAAAAGCAATACGCATAAACTTCTTTTTGTTATTAAATCTAACTATAAGTTTCCTAAAGTCCAGTTATCAAGTTGAATTGTGTGGAGAGAGGAGAGAGGCCAACTGGAATTTCTCTCAAGAGTTCACGGCTTCAGTCTGAGAGGTCCTGGATTTGCGCTGGGGGAGCCCCTTTTTGAATGAAGGCATGGGAGGGCTTGGCTCCATGCTGACTCCAGTTCCTTTGGTCCCTGCAGAGTGAGTTTGGCCTCTTTCACTGGTGTTTCCTGGTGTCTGAGATGGAGCACTCTGATACCTGGAACCAGATGAAGACCACGAGCTGTTTCTGTAACGACCCATACTGTCATGCCGCCCTTGGTTCATGGGGTCATTGGACTTTTGGCCTTGTGGCCTGTAGCCTTGTCCTCGTCTGTTCCCTGGCAATACCTAAAGATAAAAGAATACAATGTTCAAGGTGCTCTAGCATTATGGCACCCCATTCGTTCACTTTACAAGAGTATTCTGAAAGCAGAATTGTGGTATTCCATGCTTGGGACTCAGTTTATCTCTCAAGACTCAAAGAATTCTGTCAGCCGATCCAACCTAGCCACTACTTCAGAACTAATCCATCTTTCCCTGCTCTTCATGCCTTGGCTCTTCTCCACTGAAGAATTTACTTTTCTTTAGCTGGATGCAAGAAGAAAGATAAGGAAGAAAGAACATTCTGTGGGTTGTTACAAGTCCTCAACTGGACAAGTATATTATATTATGTCTGAACTCTTCAGATAAAAGGCCATTGGTAAAGATAATAAACATTTGGAATAATAAAGTAAACATCACTATGGCCTGCTTTACTAAATGTCATGACTATAGATTAAAGCTTGCTGCTGTGGCATTCAGCACATCTTTCAAAATATAATCCGGAAAGCTTATGGTATGGGATTTTATTTTTGTCCTCCAATTCCAAACGTCATACCAGTTCTGAAGAATTACTGACAGTACTGCCTTGGATTGCTCTTGTGTTTATTCTTCAAACAGGAGAAGAACCTATGGGATTACTCCTCAGCTTTCTAGTGTTTTCCCCCTATCCCCACCAGGTCACTCTCTCTTTCCCAGTAAATTCCACATTGTCCTTCTAGGGAGTTGCTGCTTTCAGATGCACACTGGTGAAACTGCCACTTGTGGTGCCTGTCTACCTTGAGATGGGTGCACGACTCCCAGTGTGACTAATTACCAGGCAATACTATCTACAACAGCAGGGATCGCTGCCAACACAAGAAAGTCAGCAGTTCTTGGCAACAGGAAATCTAAACTGGCTGGCAGTTTGGAACATACGTATCTAATGCTTTCTCAGGAACTAACTCGGGTTGGAGGGTTTCAAAACAGGCGTGGAATGGGAATAAAGAAAGGAAGATAATATACTGAGCTATCAGCTTTTAAGCTTTGACAATCTGGAGGGTTTTCTTCCTAACACGCTCAGCGTAGAAGCTAGGTTACCTCCCGAAGTGGCTGGTAGGGCTGGCCACTGGAGTTTGCTATGGCTGCAGGAGTCTCTCGCGGTGCAAAGTTTTTCTTGTTAGCACTTGTAAGGCTGGGAGGAGAGGCACAGGTGGAAGAGGAAGCAGCAGAGGCATCACTTGGGCTACTCAAGGACACAGATGTAACTGAGCTACATCGGGATCTGGTTGAATAGCTGTTCTTTGGATGAGACACTGGAACAGAAATATGAGGAATATATGATCATATGATGGAACAGCACAATGGGTAAGGTTTCTACTTTCTCAATTTCACAATGAGCAATTTAAGATAAAGAACTGTCTATTCAAGTAAAGAAAAACCTCTAAAACTGGTAACAGGAAGAAAAATCTCCCTTCTGCCCTCTTCCTCCACTTCCTCCAAAGCCCCACTGCTTTGTAAAGGAATTCTTAAACAAGAGAACAGTTTAACATCAAAGTTACCCATTCCCCACCAACTAATGACTTCTTGGGATTGGATCTGGTACTACCTAAACTCCTGGCTATGGCTCTAGCAGCTGACTAAGCCTGGGAACAATAGTATAGACCATATGTTCAGTTTCCTATGCAAGAAACATTCTAAAGTACAGTCTTGGCAAAGAAAGAAAAAGGTACATACATAAAATCTTTACTAAATTTTTTAAAGAATTTTGAATGATACAAGGTATAAATAATCAAGATCAGTTAAATATGAATAGAACTAATCTTTACAACAAACACGTATATTGCCAAATTTCTTTCTGCAAAATTAATCCCAAATTCAAAGTACCTATTTAACTGAACAAATATTAGTATTTTCAGTTCAAATTGTGTTAGGATTCCAATGGTTTAAAACCAGTCTCTAGATTTTTTTTCTTGGCTTTAAGCCTGGACTAACAATGAGTTCATAATTGTTGCCATAGGTTAAATATTTCACTTTTGGAGACGGAGTCTCGCTCTGTTGCCCAGGCTGGAGTGCAGTGGTGCGATCTCGGCTCACTGCAAGCTCCGCCTCCTGAGTTCATGCCATTCTCCTGCCTCAGCCTCTTGATTAGCTGGGACTACAGGCACCCACCACCTCGCCTGGCTAATTTTTTGTATTTTTTAGTAGAGATGGGGTTTCACCGTGTTAGCCAGGATGGTCTCGATCTCCTGACCTCGTGATGTGCCCACCTCAGCCTCCCAAAGTGCTGGGATTACAGGCGTGAGCCACCGCGCCTGGCAATATTTCACTTTTATACTAGACAGAAAGAACAAAGAGGCTAAGTTCAGGGTTTGACAAACAGGGCACTAGAAACTCTCACCTCACAGGTACTCCCCTACCCTTTAATGCTATTATTTAAGGGTCTATTATGTTCTAGGCAAGACAAGTATTGTTTTCTCCTATTTAGAGACACAGTCTTGCTCCGGTGCCCAGACTGGAGTACAGTGGCAATCATAGCTCATTGGAACCTCAAACTCCTGGCTCAAACTATCTTCCCCCTCTCACCCACCCCCACCCCACCTCCTGAGTAGCTAGGACTACAAGCATGTGCCACCACACCTGGCTAATTTTTTCTTTTTAATTTTTTGAAGAGATGGGAACCTCGCTATGTTGCCCAGGGTAGTCTTGAACTCCTGGGCTAAAGTGATTCTCTGGCCTCAGCCTTCCAATTTGTTGAGATTACACATGTAAGCCTCCGCGCCTGGCCTGTTATCTGCATTTTGGAGAGGAGTAAAATGAGGTTACTATAGAGGCAGGGATCCAAACTTGGTCTGACAGAAGGGCCCATGCTCTTTATACCACATATCATGCACCTCTCAATTCAGCATGAAAAAACAGTCTTTCACATTTAGGGAGCTGGCAAATACTTGTCCTCAGAGTTCAAAGTATCTGGACCCATGGACTTCATAAGCATCCTAGAGTTACTTTTCACAAAAACAAGCAAACAAGAGGCACTAATGAGGAATCGGGACGAAGACAATCAGCATGTCAGTCTCTTATTAATAATCACCAACTGTAGTGCCCAGACCCTCTCACCATCTCACCTTGTCCAAATGAATCAATGCTCTTCTTTAGGGTCTCTACATCACAGGTGAACCGGGCTACTCGTCCCAGATCCTCATCATATTTACGTTCACTAACAAAGTGCTGGAGAAAGGGCAAAGAAAGGCCTCCAGGTTAGACAAACATCATCCATGGAATCCATAACTTACTATACAGCTAAAACAATCATTTTTAATTGTCTTTTTACTGCTTCAAAGTTTATTAAATGGCCATCACATGACCAACCAATAGATGATCGAATAAATCTATTCAATTTCTCAAGAGCCCAAAGGCAAGTCTGTAAGTTTATGAAATGCTACGTGATGACCAAAGCCCATTTGATATAATCAAGAGAAAATGTAAAGAAAGAAAAAAGGGCCGGGCGCGGTGGCTCAAGCCTGTAATCCCAGCACTTTGGGAGGCTGAGATGGGCGGATCATGAGGTCAGGAGATCGAGACCATCCTGGCTAACACGGTGAAACCCCATCTCTACCAAAACAACACAAAAAAACTAGCCGGGCGAGGTGGCGGGTGCCTGTAGTCCCAGCTACTCGGGAGGCTGAGGCAGGAGAATGGCGTGAACCCGGGAGGCAGAGCTTGCAGTGAGCTGAGATCCGGCCACTGCACTCCAGTCTGGGCTACAGAGCGAGACTCCGTCTCAAAAAAAAAAAAAAAAAAAAAGAGAGAAAGAAAAGAGGAGGAAGATTTTATAGTAGAGGGTCATCTTTCTACTGATGGCTATTCTCCACGTCTTTCCATTTTATACAGAAACAGAGGCAGCAAAAATGTTTACAAGGTGCTACAATGATACCATTTAGATAGATGGTTTGGTGTTAATAGGAACTTCCTTAGGAAACCCACTTAATCTCTTTATAATAAAGTAGGATTTCTTAGTCCTTGAAATAGGAACAATTTCTTGAGATGGAAAATCATTCATGTGAAAAGTAAACTTTGCAAATGAGAAGTTTATGCTGCAAGTAATTTAATCCTTTTAAGCAGACTGAGCTGAGAAGTAACCAACCCCTTGAGTCAAAAACTAACCATGCTATAAAAATCGTGGGACTAGAAACATGTCAGGAATAAAGTGCTTCTGGGGGTCTATTTCATTAAACAATGTCTGAAGTAGACTGCAATCATTTTTTTTTTTTCAGATGAAAAGGAGATAAAAAAGAAAAGTGAAAGGCCTAGATATAATTTGGAAGAACTGAACCCTTCAGGACACTCCTCTTAACTGGGGGTGGCCTAGTACTACTCTGCATCAGAATTCTCGGGAAGCAACCAGAAGCACTGAAAGGGAAAGGAGAGAGAAAAATGACCTTCCAGCCTTGAATTCCTAAAACTTCAGAGTATGTTGCGGCTTAGGAAAGCACACGAACCTCTTGTTACAAAGCCTTCAGACATGTAATATCAGTCTGAGATTAATTCTGAAACAAATTCTAGGGTTTGTTGAGTCAAAGACATAATAGGAATGACGGAAATAAAATGATCTGGAAATAAGACATTTAAATTGCACAGCACCCACTTCAGTACACTGAAAAAGTGGAGAGAAACAGATCCTTAGTCAGCCTGCAGAAATATTTCCAGCAGCTTTTCAGCCATGTGGGAAGAGGAACAGATGAAGCCTGTGAGAGCCAGAATTCTCATCTAATTCCAAAGGGGTTTCCGGCTTCTCCCCAGGAGTTGAATGAGACTGACTGGCATCAATGTGAGAAGGCCTTTCTATAAAATTTAATCATATAGTTTTAGTTAAACAGAAAACGGTAACTGAACATTTGCATGATTTGGCTAGTTCACCCCAATAGAGTTGAAGGGGAGGCAGTGAGAGAACAATACTTCACAGGTCTAACACTGGGTCAGATGATAGCAAGGATCCCTATAAGGTCCTGGATGATACTCCACCTCTGTTTTTATTTTAGAGACTGTTGTACAGCAAGTGTTCTCTCAGTGTGACAATAAATCTTATGTGTTCAGAAAGAGAAGAGGTAAAGGGCACAGGTGTGGAGAAGGCCAACTCCCTTTGTCACAGCTTGCAGCTTCCAGTTTATAAACAATTATTTAGAATGCCAATGACCACAACTATCCATGAATATCCCAGTTTCCCTCAGGTTCACATGCTTAGTCTCAGAAACACTGTTCTTTATATAAGAATTTGGCCAAGTGGCCGGGCGCGGTGGCTCAAGCCTGTAATCCCAGCACTTTGGGAGGCCGAGACGGGCGGATCACGAGGTCAGGAGATCGAGACCATCCTGGCTAACACAGTGAAACCCCGTCTCTACTAAAAACACAAAAAACTAGCCGGGCGAGGTGGCGGGCGCCTGTAGTCCCAGCTACTCGGGAGGCTGAGGCAGGAGAATGGCGTGAACCCGGGAGGTGGAGCTTGCAGTGAGCTGAGATCCGGCCACTGCACTCCAACCCGGGCGACAGAGCAAGACTCCGTCTCAAAAAAAAAAAAAAAAAAAAGAATTTGGCCAAGTGTGGTGGCTCATGCCTGTAATCCCAGCACTCTGGGAGACCAAGGCGAGTGGATCACTTGGGGTCAGGGGTTCGAGACCAACCTGGCCAACATGGTGAGACCCTGTCTCTACTAAAATACAAAAATTAGCAGGGCATGGTGGCACATGCCTGTAATTCCAGCTACTTGGGAGGCTGAGGCACAAGAATCACTTGAACCTGGGAGGTAAAGGTTGCAGTGAGCGGCGACAGTGCCACTTCACTCCAGCCTGGATGACAGAGCGAGACTCTGTCTCAAAAAAAACAAAAAAGAATTAAAAGGTATACATATTGAACCCAAGTGATTTTTGTGAAAAGATTACAACAAATATCTCAAAGATAATTTTTCTCTATACAATCAGAATTGGCCAACCAACTATTTACAGAAGACCAACTACATACCAAGGTGCTGTGCTAGGCACTTGGAGAGACAGGAGCTCACTGTGAAGTTCACTATCTAGTGGGGAAGACAAATTAAGCAAATGCACATAAAATCCTAACTGTGCTCTGAAAGCATAGAATGGGGAGATATGATGGGGAAGTCAGGAAGGATGAGGAGGTCAGGAGTGGTAACTGGGCTGTTCACAGTGGCTCACGCCTGTAATCTCAGCACTTTGAGAGGCCGAGGCGGGTGGATCACCTGAGGTCAGGAGTTTGAGACCAGCCTGGCCAACATCATGAAACCCCATCTCTACTAAAAATATAAAAATTAGCCGCCGGGTGTGGTGGCTCATGCCTGTAATCCTAGCACTTTGGGAGGCTGAGGCAGGCAGACCACCTGAGGTTGGGAGTTTGAGACCAGCCTGACCAACATGGAGAAACCCCATCTCTACTAAAAATACAAAAATTAGCTAGACATGTTGGTGCATGCCTGTAATCCCAGTTACTCGGGAGGCTGAGGCAGGAGAATCACTTAAATCCAGGAGGTAGAGGTTACGGTGAGCCGAGATCACACCATTGCACTCCAGCCTGGGTGACAGAGCGAGACTTTGTCTCCCAAAAAAAAAAAAAAAAAAAGAGTGGTAACTGTGGTTGGCGGCCGGGAGAAGAGCGTTTGGACAGATGGAAAAGCGTGTGTGTCTGTGGAGTGTAGAAGCCTCCAGCCTCTGCTCTCTGCTTGAGGGCAGAGGACCGGGGGGATGGTATGAACTGAGGGTAATGGCAGAGCAAGACTATACAGTCCTTCATACCGGATTAAGGATTATAGTATTTATCCTAAAAGCAACAGAAAGTTTGAAGCAGACTGCTGTAGTGTGGGGAACCTACATGGAGGGTGGGGCAGGTGGGGCAGAGACAGAATGGATGAACACAATCAGTTAAAAGGCTCTTACAGAAGTCCAGGCAGGCGATGGTGGTAATCTGATCATAATGGTGGTGGTGGAGATGAAGAAATAAGGTCAGATCTGAGATTTAGTCAAATGGATGGGGTGTGCTGATAGATTTAAGGTGGGAAATGGAGAAATTTTCTAAGGTTTCCAGCTGGGATAACTAGGTAGATGACAATACCACTTACAGAGAAAGGGACCTGGAAGAGGGCCAGGTTTGGGAAAGGAAGATCATGAGTTTAATATATTAGATATGGCCATGAATTATGAAAAGTTCTTACTTTAGCCCCTGAGGATAAGAAGAAAGGCAGAAAGCAGAAAGAAGTTTTACCTTGATATCGGCTCTGAGCTCAACCAATTGCTGCTCTGACATTTGAACAGCCACATGAGTCATCTTCTTTAGAAGTTCAGCCTTCTTTTGTCGGCTGAGCAAAATTTCCACTGTAGAGGAAAAGTGAGTGTGAACCTTATGTTACTGCTAAATAGGATAAAGAAGAACTAGAAATATAAGCCTTGCAGTAGGTATTTGGTCAGCCAAAGGCTTAGTTGCCCATCCATCCAGAAAATGAAAATATCAAAAGTCCAGTCTCTACCTTCCATTGGGTCTCTGAAGGCAGTTAAGTAGTAAACATTTTTTTATAAATCACAAACACTCATAAATCATTTGTTATTTCTCCTTCCAGTCAAAAAAATTTTATCAAGATGCATATAAATTAAAAAGGAAATATGCACACATAATAAAAAATATTCATCTAGAGTAAGTTGAGTATAAAATGAAAAGAGCCTCTCTCTTATTTCTGATTTTGTGGTCTCCTCTCCAGAGGAAACCACTGTTCACCATTTCTTATGTACACTTCCAAATATTGTCTATGTACACACAACATGTATACATATGTATCTCTCCTTTTTCCCTTCTCACAAATGGAAGTATATCATACACATGGTCTTTCCTTTACCTTAGCTATTTTTACTTAATATATTTTTAAGTTTATTCCCTATTACTACATCTGGATCACCTTCATTCTGTTTAACAGCCACTGAGTATGGGGATATACCACAATTATTTACCGAGTTCCCTAGTGATGGGTATTTAGATTGTTACACCCTTTTAAGAACCACCTTCTATGGCATGCTTTCTGATATACAACTTGGATACAACTTGGTCATGGCAGAGAACAGACAATAAAAATCTCCCAGAGAGACAGGGGCTACAGTGGAAACTGAACCAAAGAAATCCTCCCCGGAAGCAGATAAACCACCCAAGGAATGTTCTCTACTACCAGGGAAGGGACTCTGCTATTCCTTCCCGCCAGCAAGATTTGATCATTGCTCTTCCAAGTGGGAATTTTTACTATAATCATCCTTTTCTTTCTCCAACTGTGTAATATTGGAGAAGGGGGCATTTAGCCTTTCTTTTAATTTATGAGATCCCATCCTTGGAAGATCTGAAATTACTCTGAAGACCTAGCTTTTCAGCTGAATATTAACTAACTAGACGAGACTTTGGAGGTATTGCTACTGAGGAGGTGGTGAACATATTCTCATTTTGGAAAACAGAGGGATACTGGGTAGGGGAGGACTGTAGCAAAGACCGTTAGTTGATAGAACACAGTCTTTCCAACTATATTCAAGAACATCAGGGCTATCAGAAATCCAATGTTGTTGGGTACCAACAAAATTAGGTAAAAAAAATCTGTATTTTCTTGCTTTGCTACAGATGAAATGGTCATGTGATACAGTTTCACCATTGAGATATAAGCAGAACTCAAAGGGCAGGGTTTATAGGAGAGTTTTAAAGGAGTCTTGGCATGTAACATTTTACTCCTTCTTGACTGGAGCCTAGGGAGTAGTCTTTTGACCATAAGCATACTCTCAGAATGGTTGCGCAGAAGGATAGAAGAACCTGGGTCCCTAATGTCATATTGGAAATGTCCTGCCAGCTCTGGGTTGCTTACCTCTGTACTTTTCATTTCCTGAGAAAAAAGAACACTCACATTTATTTAGGCCACTCTGTTCCATGTAGTTAAACTGAATCCCTAACTGATATACACAGAATCCTGTAACATACTGAGGAATTAGCCAAATTCATGTCAGAAAAAAACAGAAATTTTAAAGAGTTACACCAGGTATTACAGAGACCTGGATGTATTTAGCAAGTTTACTCGGCCCAACTGCCTGCCACAAAGATGCACACATGGGCTGCCTAGACCCAAGTTACACTAATCAGTCAGGGCCCACTTTCTCAGGAGTCAGGAGCACGCCTACAAAAGTTTCTTAACACCAAAGCCCAACAGTTACAAATGATCTATTGGTTTAGCTCCCAAGATAAAACCTATTTGCCATTTGTATCAACTTCAGTTTCTCTCAGCTCTAGCATTCAGTGATTCTATGACAAAATTATAGCTCTCAAAATGGCGAAAATGAGGTAAATAAAAAGCTTTCTACACATAACAGATAACTCACAGGACCTAATTATACAACATTGGAAAAGACTGAAATACTACAAACCCATCAATTACTTAATAAAATTATAATATGTAAAAAACAAAAAGCAACTCTTAATAGCATTGGTAAATGAGTAGTTACATCATATCATTAAGAACCAGGATTTTCAGGGAGAAAAGAGCTAAAGATATAAAACTGATGAAGTTAAGTAAAACTCTGAGCTCTGAATTTGATAAAATAAGATTGGGCACAACTTGATAATTGGTTGAAGCTGAGTGATAGGAGTTTGTTACATTAGCCTATTTGAAATTTTTTGTTTTGTTTTGTTTTGAGATGGAGTCTCGCTCTGTCACCACGCTGGAGTGCAGTGGCACGATCTCGGCTCACTACAACCCCCGCCCCCTGAGTTCAAGTGATTTTCCTGCCTCAGCCTCCCGAGTAGCTGGGATAACAGGCCATGCCACCATGCCCAGCTAATTTTTGTATTTTTAGTAGAGATGGAGTTTCATCATGTTGGCCAGGATGGTCTCGATCTCTTGACCTCATGAGCAGCCCGCCTCGGCCTCCCAAAGTGCGGGGATTACAGGAGTGAGCTACTGCGCCCAGCCAAAATTTTCTATAATATAAAAGATGTATTAATATTTTTAAAAGCACCTTCTTTTTCTTTATATCAAGACAGGGTCTTGCTCTATTGTCCAGGCTGGAGTATAGTGGTGCAATCACAGCTCACTGCAGCCTCGACCTCCTGGGCTCAAGTGATCCTCCCACCTCAGCCTCTCAAGTAAATGGGACTACATATAGCCATATAGCACATGCCACCATGCCTGGTTAATTTTTTTTTTTTGAGATGGAATCTCATTCTGTTGCCAGGCTGAAGTGCAGTGGTGCGATCTCAGCTCACTGCAACCTCTGCCTCCTGGGTTCAAGCGATTCTCCTGCCTCAGCCTCCTGAGTAGCTGGGACTACAGGCATGCGCCACCATGCCCAGCTAATTTTTGTATTTTTAGTAGAGACAGGGTTTCATCATGTCGGCCAGGATGGCCTCGATCTCCTGACCTCATGATCTGCCCACCTCGGCCTCCGAAAGTGCTAGAATTACAGGCGTGAGCCACTGTGCCCAGTCTACTTTCTTATTTTTCAGAGACAAGATCTCACTGTGTTGCCTAGGCTGGTCTCAAACTCCTGGGCTCAGGTGATCCGCTCAAAGTGCTGGGATTATATGTGTGGGATTATATGATTATCACGCCTGGCCTTAAAGGACCTACTTCTCAAAAGTAAGAAATATGTCTTCTTAACGGTTTTAGTTTATCTGAATTTCCATTTTCAAAAAGAGAATGTACAGATAAAATAATGGACTGAAATGTCAAATTAGAAACTCAAAATATATTGCTCAATGTAAACGAAATCTCACCTCTGAAAAACAGTGGAAGGCATCTCTGCTACATTCTCAAATTTTCAAGTTAAAATGGACCCAAACTGAAGTCATTTCAGTGCTTCAAAGCTGCATCCTCTGGCCCGTGACCACACACACAAGTGATTTAACTGTGAGTCATGATCTCAACCTAGCCCAACATTTCTATTCTTATCAGTTTGAGGGTGGGTTAAAATCAACAACTTTCCTAATAATAAATCTGGCATTTAATGCAGGAAGATAAAACCTGCCACCGAAATGCCCCAAATCAATGCCATTGTACAAGTTGCAGTTGGTATTCCCTTTTCTTCGTGTAGCTGTGTATGTTTAACCTAACACTTAACGGAAATGATCAAAAAATAGATATGTTTTTTCTGTACAAAACCCCACAAATCACCAAAGTTAGACTTCATTCCTCCAGAATCTATTTTAGTAAGCTTTCAAGAAACCCAGTATCTTGAACCCTCAATTCACTAACTTTTCCCCTACCATTGATAACAGATACTGAGTGAAGACTGTTCTATAAACTGAGAAAACAAAGAAAGTTCTGAGATAGGTAATGATAGGAGCATATACATTCAATCGTAGGCAACCTAATAAAGTCTTCTCTGATTATGCTAAAGGTTTTTTTCTGAGTAGAAAAAATCCCAGTGGAATTGCTTAAACACTGGAGGAAGAAACAAAATAAAAACCTGGTGGCAGATACCATGATGTAGTCTTTTATACATTGAACTCTGCATTCAAAATATTAAGATTTGGAAATATTTTTAAAATAGGCTCTTTAAAGTTATTTCACCTGAAAGGATTCATATGCCAGTACAATGCAACTGCTTAAGATTATTTAAATATACAAACTCTTATTATGGTATTTATATTGAGCTTTTGTTATGAGGGTTGGGAAGTAGGTACCTACTATTTATGAAGGTAATAGTTTTAATTAAAGATCAATCATCTTACTTGCTTCAGCTTTCACTTTGTCCATTTCAGCAAGCAACGCCACTTCTCGATCCATTAAACTAGGAAAAGATGACAAAGGAATAAAAGGTTTGATGAGAAACTCAAATACAAAATTAGCACATTATTAATAGTAGAGAAAGACTGGTAAGTTTGTTTGCTAAAAGCATACTAAAAAATAATACTGTATGGACCACATAAAAATCCTGATGTCTTACTCTCAACAAAGAATATTTAAAGATTTTCCCAAAAATAAAATAAATAGACCCAATTCCCTTTTATATTGCAAAATTGGTACATTGCAGTACACCAATCACTAGAAGTCTAAGAGTTGAGAACCAGCAGATGGCAGTAGCAAGCTACAAAACACATTTTTTAGTAAGCTGTGCTAAAGCAAAAGTCCATGTGGAAATTACTTACTTAACCATGTATGTACTCACATACTTTTTATATTTATATTTTGGTCTATAAAATTTGATGGCTTTGCATGTAATTAATTTTTACCAAGCAATATCCCCATTAGGGCATAGTAAATTTATCCATGATTAGGACTTGTATATCTTCAACAGCTGACCATGGTTGCACCAAGTCCACTTACATTTTAGTACTTAGAATGCAAAGTAGTCAAAAGATAAGACATATAGTGTGCTAGTTTCTGAGAAACATATAACAGTAATGAGGAAGGAATAGAATTACAGATTTCTGGTAGGCTTTTTACAGAAAAAGAACATTAAATAGTCAATTAGAATTTTTTCCACTGCAAATGTAAATGGTTTATAGGCACATAAAGCTTTTCCATGTCGTTATAAAAGAGCCCACAGCCTTCAATGTATAAGGAGACAGCAGGTTACCCTAGTATTCAACCTCTGGATGCAAATAATTTTCCTTACCATATCGGTTTTGCTTTGTGGTGGCAAAAAGAAAAAAAATCTAGAATTTTAATGCCTGCACAAACATGGAATATTCCAACTTTCTTCAAAGTTGGAGTTCATTCTGCTTTCTCCTTTTGAAGGAAAATATAACTACAGGGTAAATAAAAGTTCCACTCTTGTTTCTGGTTGTAATCATATACACACATACTCTCTTTCTCTCTCTGTCACTCTCTAATTCAATTTAGCTCAATACATAGTTATGTTAGCACAAAGTAGTTAATGTGGAGACTATGGTGTGAGACGTACAAAAATGTCTAAGGCAGGGTCATTTCCTCAAGGAGCAAATCTTTTATAGGGAAGTGCCAGAAAACATAGGTTTGATAATCGTTATGCATGATGTTAATAAACAGACTTGTAACTAAACAAATTTGGTTGGCATATTAATCCAAAAGCATCAAACTGGAGAGAAGATACAATTATTGTGGGGTAGCAATACTTTGCTAAGAAAGCATTTCCCAAACCTTGGCAATATTTTGCTCCAAGAACTCTAGCAGCATTGGAATACCTAAAAGACAAAACAAAAGCACAACTGAGACAGGAGCTGCCAGGCCTACAGTTTGACATTACCTCTCTTCTGTTGCCAAATCACCTTAAGATGCAGACACTGTGTCCATCAGATGACAAATCCTTTGCCTCTGACAAAGCTTGTAAAATATTTATTAAAAGACTACAGCAAACAAGTAAGCCTTTTGTAGCTTACAATCTTTATTATGAGAAGTAGAATGTCAGATGACACTTTTAGCAAGCTCTGCATCCTACAATCAGACTTTTTTATGGCAATTTGTGCTAGTACACTGTGACGGCATTTTTTTTTCCCCTGTGAGAATTACTGGTGTTCATTTAAATAAACTTTGTTTTTTGATTAACTCAGTGGTGATCACAAGAAATTCATAGGACAGTGCATGGACAACCATATAACCTCTCCATTAAAAAAATACTAGCTTATAATATATCCATCTACCATGTACCTACAAAAATTAAAATTAAAACACATATATTAGCTTATGTTTTCATGCCAAAAAACAATGAAAAGCAGTAAGAACTTGTTTCTTTTTGTCATGTTGCCATCTATTGATAACACCTAGTGAAAGGTACTGTGATGTCAGCCCAGCGTTAAACAAAAGAATCTACTAGTTAACTGATGCTGATATGTTTCTCAGAGAAAAGGATGATCAGCGTTTATAATTTTACATTAAAATTTTCACACCTTTAAAATACAAAAACGAATAAATGTCAAAATTTAATAGTAAATTTCTTATTAAAAGCACATCAAAAAAGTAAATTATATAATGGGATTATGGTTGTATAGAAGAATGACCTAGTTTTAGGTTATTTATGCTAAAGCATTTAGGGGTGACATATCATCTACATCTGCAACTTCCAAGTGGTTCCACCAAGATATTATATACACACACAGCAAATACACTGCCATTGTACCAACCTTTCAACTTTTCTATATATCTGAAAGTTCTCATAATGAAAAGTTAGTGAAATGTTGGCATCACAAAGTAAATGGAGAAGGTGGGAAGAGTTCAAAGTGAAAAGTAGGTTAGGTATAAGGATAACAACATAGGCATTTTTTACAATTAAAAACAATTAATCTATTGTAATACAACTTTTAACACAGAAACTTAAGCTAAAGTTTTCCATCTGTTTCTGAGCTAAACAATGGTCCCAGTATGTATCTGTGCCCAAGAGGTTCAAAAGTATCTGTGGTGTGAGGTAATGGTTTTTAGATGCCAGAACGGCAAGCAATGAGTCCTCCCAGAGAGTGATGAAAGGCTCATTCAGACTCTCTATTACCTTGCTCACTCCAATACCTCAGGGCACTAAGCCTCTCTCAAGGCTTTCTTGAATGGAAATATGCCATAATAAGCACCAAGCATCTGGCAGACTGGATTCTAAAATTGCAAATGAAATTCAGCTAAATATTGCTGGGACCCTATTTGGAAAAATACTAGTTTTTATTAAGCCTGGGCCTTATTCAGTGTTGAGAATTTCCATATCCTTTCTTCAATTATGAAAGACAGATTTGGATGACTGCTCTCTGCTAGTAAAGAAAAAGACTGGTAACTAAATGTTCTATATTTCCTTCCTTCCTTTTCGGGACTTCCTTACCATGTTCACATTTGCTCGACTTATTCTAAAGCTGTGGGGTTTTTTGTTTTGTTTTGTTTTGTTTTGAGATGGAGTCTCGCTCTGGAGTGCAATGGCATGATCTCGGCTCATGGCAACCTCTGCTTCCTGGGTTCAAGCGATTCGCCTGCCTCAGCCTCCTGAGTAGCTGGGACTACTACGCCCAGCTAATTTTTATATTTTTAGTAGACATGGGGTTTTGGCATGTTGCCAGGTTGGTCTCAAACTCCTGGCTTCAAGTGATCTGCCGGCCTGGGATTACAGGCATGAGCCACGGCACCCAGTCAATTTATTCTAAAGTTTTTGCATAATTTAGTTGCTCAGAATAGTTGTTACTGAAGTATCACCATTCACATCGCTAACACATATTGTGTCCATCATTTGAAGCAAGTCTTCTAATTAATATACAGATACCTAACATGCAGTTAGAGATTCTAGCTCTTGCCTTCAATAATTCACTGGTACCAAAAAACTGATCATTATTTGTTTATGACTGTTGCATTGGAAAAATAATATTAAAGTGGAAACGCAACTCTGACAATTCCACAGGTCAATTATTTCAAGGGATATTACTCAAAACCATTCAATAATATTGTCAGAAAACATTTGTACTCAATTTTATTTGCTCAAAATCTAGAATTTTTTTTTTTTTTTTTTTTTTGAGACAGGGTCTCACTGTCCCCCAGACTGGAGTACAGTGGCACCATCAAGACTCACTGCCAACCTCCGCCTCCTTGCTGAAGCAATCCTCCCGCCTTAGCCCTCTAAGTAGTTGGGACTACAGGCACGAGCTACCATGCCCAGCTAATTTTTGTATTTTTTGTAGAGATGGGAGTTTCACCATGTTGCCCAGGCTGGTCTCGAACTCCTGACCTCAAGTGATCCATCCACATCAGCCTCCCAAAGTGCTAGGATTACAGGTGTGAGCCGCTGTACCTGGACTTTTTTTTGTTGTTTATTTTTTAAAGACAGGGTCTTGCTCTGTCACTCAGGTTGGAATGCAGTGGCGTAATCATAGCTCACTGCATCCTTGACCTCCTGGGCTCAGGCAATCCTCCTGCTCAGCCCGAGTAGCTGGGATTAAAGGTGTGTGCTACCACACCTGGCTAATTAAAAAAAAAAAATTGTAGAGACAGGGGTCTCACTATGTTGTCCAGGCTGGTCTTGAACTCCTGATTTCAAGTGATTCTCTCGCCTTGGCCTCCCAAAGTACTGGGATTATAGGTATAAGTCACTATGCATGGCCTTAAAACCTATTCATTCTAATTCTACTAACCAACCAAGCAAAAATCCAAGCAAAGCCAATGCAGACACCTTTTTTTTCTTTGAAGACGGTTTCCTCTTTCCATATAAAATAACCAAAAAAGAGAATTGCCAGTAGTATTTATTTTTCCTTCCTTTCTTTCTTTTTTTTTTTTTTTGTTTTTTTGAGTCTCGCTCTGTCTCCCAGGCTAGAGTGCAGTGATGTGATCTCAGCTCACTGCAACCTCCACCTCCAGGGTTCAAGCGATTCTGGTGCCTCAGTCTCCCGAGAAGCTGGGATTACAGGTGTGCACCACTCATGCCTGGCTAATTTTTGTATTTTTAGTAGAGACAGGTTTCATCATGTTGCCCAGGCTGGTCTCGAACTCCTGACCTCAAGCAATCCACCCACCTCAGCCTCCCCAAGAGGCCAGGAGTGGTGGCTCACATCTATAATCACAGCACTTTGGGAGGCTGAGGCTGGCAGATCACTTGAGGCTGGGAGTTCGAGAATAGCCTGGCCAATATGATGAAACCGTCTCTTTATTAAAAGTACAAAAATGTGTCACATGCCTGTAATCTCAGCTGCTTGGGAGACTGAGGCAGGAAAATCACTTGAACTCAGGAGGCAGGGGTTGCAGTGAGCTGAGATCATGCCACTGCACTCCAACCTCGGTGACAGAGCGAGACTGTCTCAAAAAAAAAAAAAAAAAAAAAAAAAAAAAAAGCACCCTTCGTAATCTACTTCACCA